CAAGGCCACAATGTTACAGACCTAGGAGTTGCCTAGGACCTCACCAGCTGAGGAGACTCACCAGCTGTGGGGACTGAGGAGGTTGCACGTGAGGAAGACAAGGAGCAACTGCTCCTAAGGGGAAATCTTCATCCCCACGGCTTCCTGAGTAAGCTGCAGGTGGCCTTTGGCTGCTAGTCACTGCATTTGCTTCTCGTTGACTTAACTTTGGGAATCACACAGTTGAGCAGTATGTTAGCTACCTGCTGGCTTATGAGAAACAACACCTCCACACATGGGTTATGTAACAGTTGCCTGGGTTACTTTGCAGAGACTTGAACTTCTGTTAAGACAGATTCTTCAGTGGAGCCTACAAACACCCAGTGGATAAACATAGTCAAAGGATTGGCATATGTCTTCCTACAGTGTCTGTCCATTCTGCTGTCTTAACTCCTGGGCCAGCTCTACAATAGATAAACTCATCAATTGAAAAAAAAAAAGTTATATCCAAGACTAGTGTAACTTGACCTGTTGCCTGTTGGAGCTGGTGTTTCTTCTACTCCACCCCTGTGCCTTCTTGGCAGCTTGCACACTTACAGTCTATAAACCATGAGACCAGAATGGTTTATGAGAAACTCAGCAGTTTCTGAGCAAAGCTCATCAGCCTAGCAAAAGAGGTGTGTGTGTATGTACACAAACAAGAAGCATGTCCTTTGAAACCATGTTGGAACTCAGGACAATAACCAAACCATAGTCCATCCCAGAAGAATCAAAAGCCTGCTATTTCATCTTGTTAAGTGAGCATCCCAGTCACCTCGTTGGTCAGTGTTAGTGTCCTTCTATTCTTACGTGGAGCTTGTCTTGCATGTCTATGCTCACACCATGTGCATGGAGCCTGGCTTGGAGGCACAGGTTTAGAATCTGAACTAGTCAAGGCTGAGTGAGGCAAGAGCATCACAAGGGTCAAGGTCTGCCTGTACAAAGACCCTGTCCCAGAAAGTCTAAACAGGGCCAAGGATATACTCGGAGCATGTATACTACCCAGAGATGCAAAAAGCAAATATTACAAGTTGATCTCATTTCTGTTGTTCCTAAGCCATAGGATTTATGTCAATTTTAGTCTGTGGTTACTTGGCTTGAATGCTTCAGTTATGTATTCAGACAGACAGGTCACATGAGTAGATGGAAGGCAGGGTCCAGGTAGGAGAAGCAAGAAATAGACTTCCTAAAAACATGTTTCCAAGGATCTGCTCTCATCAAGGCCCTAGTTTCCACCATCTTCTAATAGCCCATCCAAGGATTAATCCATAGACTGATCAAAGCCCTCATGATCAATCTCCTCCCCAAAGCTCCATTTATTTAGACATCTCAGGTAGCCCAGTCTGGTTTCAAACTGTATACCTGAGGACAGCCTTAAACTCTTGATCCTCCATCTACTTCCCTAGTGCTAGGTCACAGGCATGTGTCACTAGTTCATGTGATGAAGGGGTCAAATCCAGGTCTTCCGGGCAGGCCCTGTACCAACAACTGGGCTTCTTTTCCTGCCTGCACTTACTGGCCTGTACATGCAGGCCTCAGTGATAAGTGGGCCCTTTGGGAGCCAGGCAGTGATTTGCTATGCTTTGGGAGCCCACCTGATGACTGATGAGCACCTGTAGGAGCCTTATTACTCAGAACCGGAGAAGCAGCTGGGAGTGGTGGAGTGCTTAGGTCCCAGCCCTTAGGAGCCAGAGCCTGGTTCTCAGAGCTCCAGGCCAGCCTGATGTGTCCAGTGAGTTACAGGACAGTAAGAGCTGCATTGTGAGACCCTGGTTCAAAACAAACAAAAGGACAAAGCCCCAGGACTGTACTCCAAATGTTCCACACACCCTTGTGGAGGCCACACTCAGGCCACGGGGAAATGCTGAGTAGTTGTTAGTCGGGAAGCATGAAGTGTTCTGTATCATTCCTGTGCTGCGGTGTAGACCATGGACTAAGGCTATTCAAGACAAAGTGTTGAGAGCTGGAATGAGGGAGGCGGTTGAAGAGAAGGCTGAGAATATAAACTAGAGCTGTTTCCCAGGGCAAGCAGACGAGTCTTGAACTGAGGGATGCGGGAGAGAGCAGAAGCAGCTAACCATAGTGCCAGAGACCTGCTGTTTCTTAGGCCAGTGGAAGAATGCTGACATAACTGAGGCAAGTAAAACTGCAGGGATGGGCGACTGAGTTCAGATGTGCATGTATTTGAGGTGTCTGGGACACCCTGGAGACGTCGGTCCTTAAGACATACAACGCCAAGCACAGAACAGGTTCCCTAGGAATGTTCACAGACTGGAAGAAGATGGCAAGGGGAAGTTGAAGGCATGAAGTGAAGGAAAGGCTAATACTAAGGAGAGCTGCAGGCTTTGGACGACCTTAATGGATCTACTTCGCACCCAGTTGTAGTAGTCAGACTTTGTTGGTCATTCTGCACAATAGTTGAGTGAATTAAATTTTGTGTACATTCACTAAACCAAGACAGTTTCATCCATTACTCAAATATCGATGGCCCCTGACAAGTCTGACCCACAGGGGACTGCAATGGAGAAACATTGAGCAGAAACTACTTTTCCTGGGCTAGGATCGTGCTGGGCAGATAAGCTAATCAAAGTATTAGATTGTGCAACTGTAATTAACACACGTTCTGAGCATTTCAAGGAAACTATGTAAGGTACATTAGATCAAATGTAGCTTCAATTTACACGACTTTCAACTCACTGTTTATTAGTACAGAACCTATCCTAAGTTGAAGTACACAGGATGAGAGACCAAAAGCAGAAGTTCCAGGCCGATGAGATAGGTCAATAGGTAAAACCTGTAGCCAAGGCTGATGGCCTGAAGTTGATCCCTGGGAGCCACATGGTGAAAGGAAACTCTCAAGAGTTGGCCTCTGACATGACAAGAACATGCACATGCCCCACACACATCCATAAATAAAAATGTAATAGAGACCCAAAACACTAGTTCCTACCTTTGTAACAGGACCCCAAATCTTAACATGATAGAGCTACCATTCAGGCCTTAAAATATAGCATGTAGACAGGCAGCCACATCTGCCAAAATGAGAACAAAGACCTAATCCACCCAAGTCCATAGTTCTGGGAAGTCCCTAAATGCACTAACCTTGCTTTATGGCTTCTGGAGTTCCACATCTGACCAACTGAAGTATGTCAGCCTAGGATGTGGTTTTTATGCTTTTAAGCTCTCACTGAGAAAGGCTCAAGATTACACTGGGGTCCCAAACACCCAGTGTATGTCACCAGCCAGCTAATAAAGACATTCTGTTGGATTGAACCCATGTCCATTTGGTCTTCTCTGGTGGACATTTCACAACACCTTAAATTACAATGCTTTTAGATATTATTCTTTACAGTTTGTAAGATACTTGTTTTCTGGGACAGCATTGCATATAAAACAAATTCATATGTAGCTGAATTGATTTCCAATGCCTGCCTCCACTTCCAAGGTGCTGGGATTTTAGGCTTGTACCATTACTCCGCTTTTAAAGATTAAAAACAAAACAAAACAAAACAAAATCAAACAAAAACTTTGCAAAACTCATTCAGTTAAGAATGAATGTTATCAGGTGACCTCAGATTATTGATATAATTTCAGTTTATTTGATGGAAGCAATGAGTTTGTTAAACATTCTCTACCTTATATAAATGAAGTGGAAAATAAAGGAACTTTCCATTGCAGTAACAAAATTCCTGATAATCAACTTAAAGGGAGGAAAGTTTGTTTTGGCTTTGTTTCATAGGTTGTCATCTGAGTCACTTTGGACCCATGGCAAGGAAGTCCATAGCAGGAGGTATTGTGTAGAAGCAAAGCAGGCCATCTCATGGCTGCAAGTAAGATAAAGTGGCCAGGGGTCCAATCCTCTTTCACAAGGACTTGTCCCCACACTTACTTCACTAGGCCCCACCTCCTAAAGGTCCTCCCACTTCCCAATAATACCATACATGGGCCTTTGAATTATGTTTAAGACATACTACAAGTTGCTTATAAAAATGTTTTTAAAAAATTACAATATGCCAATGGAGACAAAAGAAAGCATCTATCAGTGGAAATGTAACTTCAAGTAAATACTAAAAAGTATGTTTTGAAGCAAAGAATTTTTGAGCCCATTCTAGCATTCTCAGAATAGAAAATCATATGCCAGAAGGTTGCCCCTCGAGTCTTAGTCAAGAAATGTTTCCAGGAATACGTGTAAAGACACTCGACCCTTACCCTCTCATACACAACCCTTTCATCACAGAAGCAACATACATTAAAATAGGCTTCTGTTTGTTTAATAAAAGGAAGCATAGATGCTAGCTAGGTTGCTTGTGACCCCAAGATAAGTATAAGATTTCATAATATAAAGGAACTATACCCAACAAGCATTAGTAAGAATGAACAGCAATTCTTGGGTACCAGAAATCAGGTTAGCTTGGGTGCTTGCCTGACCACTGGAGGAAGGAAACTGGTTCATCTGACCTACAGGCCCAGTGAAAATCCTGTTTATCTTAGAAAAACTAACCTGAGTAGAAAGAAACATTGTCCAGTTCCAGTTGTTAAGAGAGAAAAAAAAAAAAAAAAAAAATGGCAGCCCTTTTGCATTATCCACTTTTGCCCCAAATTTTCCAGGGAAGCTTCTGTATGGTTTCTGGTGTATATGAGCATCACTCAGTTCTTTGTTTCTGCATGTATTTCATGTGTGCTCCAGGAACATTTTTACCTTACCATCCCACACACTAGCTTGTACACCAGAAGAAGGCGAGCATATCAGTTGTCTGCATCCCCCCCCCACACACCATACTAGTTTTTATATTTAGACGTTTCTGATCACTTCAAAAAGTTCTTTGAACACACTGCCCATTTATGTCCTAATTACATTTTCTTTAAATAACCAAATACTGAACAAACATACTAAAATAGTTGATACTCACTTTCCCTTTAAGAGTCTAAACTCAGAAATACCATCTATACACACCACACCCATTTCTATTTCAAGGGGCACATGATTTTGTCAGTCAGCTTTATTTCCAAACAAAATCACTTTATTTATATATTATTTATATAAATTATGTGATGACCTTCAGCAAATAGAGGGGAATCTATAAAATGCTGTTTGCTTTGAAGATTTTAATTGCGAAATTTCTTCTTTTTCCGGAACTTCTTTCCTGCTGCATTTGCTGCTTTTTCAGCCATGATTTCTGAATACTTCCTTCGGTTAAATCTGAAAAGAAAATGCAAACCTTCATGCTCTAATCTATAGCACAATGTATCAGGTATATCAGGCATTAACAGTTGCTATAGCTTTAGGGAGAGCTAAATCTCAAAATGCTCTATGCTGGGCTGGCTTTATAAAGCACACTGCCACCAAAAGTCAGAAGGCTGAGACAGCAGTTGTCATTTGTTTTATTTAAGTTTTGAGATGGTGTCTTGCAATGGCTGGCCTTCATCTCAGAACCTTCTTATGCTTTGGACTTACAGATGTGCACTCAACTCCTCAGCCAGCCAGAGTTTATATTTAAAGACCAATTTTAAAGACCCCTGATATCCATTTACCAGCTGACATTGGATCTGGGTATAAGTATGGGATAAAAATACAAAAAAAGGACAAAGCAAAACAGTTTCCACTTAATGAAAACAGTACTAATGACATTTCTTAGAAGCCCAGAGCCAGGTGATCTCTGATCCAGGCCAGCCAGAGCTACACAGAGAGAGACCCTATGTCTCAACTGCCCTGGCCCCGTCCCCACCCCCACAAAGGAAAACCACCTTAGAAAACAAAGAGCAATGCTTTTCAAAGGCTGATCTCCAGATAAAAGGTCTATGGGTAAAAGTATTTTCACAGGATAATTAAGACATTGATTATCCCTTCTCACACTCATTCTTATGCGGGAACACATGAAGTTTAAAGGCTACATGATATATGGTTTGGCAGAAACAGATGAGGATCTAACTTTGACTATGCCAAATACTAAATTATTTTTGTTTTATTATTCTCACAAAAACATAGTCACCACAATGTAATCTGAGAACCTGTAAACGTAGGTGTATTTAAAGAAAAGCACACATTATACAATAAAATGTAAATTACCTCCTGAACTCAGAATCAGCCAGCAGTTCTTCCACAATAGTCTTTTTCCTCTGTTTCTTGGGAATTCTTGAATGGTAGAAGTCAGCTGGATTATCTACGATGGTTCCAACCTAAGAAAAATTGATTGAAATACATCATGCAGTACCTGGGTTAAGTTGTTAAGTTGCTCCATATTTCAGTGTAAGTCTAACGGTCTTTGTGGAAAGGAATGGAAAGCACAAGCTTACATTACACATGCATTGGTTAGGCCAGTTTTTAAAGGCAAAAATAAACAACCTATTGGCCAGTACACTGGTGGTACTGATGACAATTCCCCATTAGAGGGTCCAGCACGTCAGTGCTAAACAGTCAATTCATGATGAATAGCACAATATAATATACTGTGCTTTCTAATTCAATGATGTACATATAAATTCTACATGTCTATGTGATTTTAGAGATTATCACAAACACTGCCAGTTTAGTAAAGTATCTGCATTTGTCCTCAACTGACTGAAGTTTGTAGGAGGATTACTACGTGCAGGCACTGTGCTTAGGTGATGGGGAAAACAAGGACTGAGAACATCTAGTCCACACCAGTAAACAGCCACAATCTTAAGGCAGAGCCAAGCAGAAACTAAAAACATTATGGTACAATGATATTCACAGAACAGAACACTGTACATGGCTCTGAAGACCTAGTGACCAGGTTTGTTTAAGGAGGTAAGAATGACCAAGACAACATTTTAGCTAGGCTCTCTATAGATAAAAGTTCGCCAGGCAAACGGGAGAGTAAAGTCAGAGAGCAGTAAAGACTGGTACATGTTCTCAGAAAACTGGGGAGCTAAGTGGGCGCAGTTTAAGAAGACTCACTAACAAAGGACTGGCAAGCTAGTTTGTGTGCAGAGTATGAATGAAGGTTCAAAGGAAGTGATATAGACTACCCCAAAAGTCACCAAGAATTACTCAAGTTTCTCAGAAGTATAACATGAAAATAATTATGTAAGTAAATGACAGAATACAACACTAGCTACAAGGAGGCCAGAGGGCAAGACTTGAAAACCTGTAAGCTGAGTGAGTAGAAAAGGGTTGAGAAGAGTGGAAACATGATCAACTTGCTCGCCGAAAAGCAACTTTTGAATGACTTGTCCCATCTATCCAGGGATGTTTTCAAAAGAGAAAAGGAATGGAATAAATCATTTCCTTTCTCTGTACATCTTACATGAACTTTTGCTCTTGAAGTAGCCATATATTCAGATACAAAAATTCAGTGAGTGTAATAGACCTAACCTTGATCCCAGCTGCCATTTTTAACCTTGCCCTCTGTACTGAGGACCCATTATAAAATGGTGGCTGTCTGAATTGCTGTCTAGTCATTCTTTATAAAGCCTACGCATATACTGACCACAGGCTTTCTTTCTCTGCTGTTACACTCCACAGAACATAACCAGTATTCTGTTTGTATACCTGGAAGTACTTAGGGAAACCATCTCTGTCATTTTTCTTGTAAAACCTTTTTGGGTCCATGCTTGCTCTCATCTTCAATGCTTTGAGATCATTTCTCAGTTCATCCGTCAGTTCTGGAGCTTTCATGCCAAACCAACCATTACCAGCTGTTTTTTGTCGCTCTTTCTGAAATACAAGTTGTAAAAAAAAACATTAAAAAATGTGCTTTACTTATATATGCACATACATGTGTATGCAGGTGCCCACAGAGGTAAGGACAGTGAAGATTAAAGGCATGAGCAGCAAGTGTTCTTGACCAAGCCACCTCTCCAGCTCCCAAAATAAATATCCTAACTTTTCTTTTCAAGACTATAGAGACTAGTGGGGCGGTGGTGGTGCACACCTTTAATCCCAGGCAGAGGCAGGCAGATCTGTGAGTTCGAGACCAGTTTGGTCTACAAGAGCTAGTTGTAGGACAGCCTCCCACGGTGTGCTAGTACATGAGGTTATCTGGGCTACCCATTCAGACTTTGGGAGGGGGAACATTTACAAGGGCTCGGAGTCCTTGCCCAGCATACGTGAAGCCTTGGGCTCACTCTTTAGCACTGCATGACTGGATGTGGTAATGCACACCTGTAACCCCAGCTGCTCAGCCAACCCAGATAAATGAGACACTGTCTCACAAACCAAAAGCAAACAAGCAAAACCCAACTTTACAGAAAGCATTTATCTCCAGGATCCTTATAAAAAGAATTAAGTCAAAAACAAAATAAATAAAACAACAAAAAACAACCAAGCCCCAAAACATTTGACACAGCACCATCAATTTCATAAATGACAACTCCCTGGTGATGACTTGCAGGGAGATGAACACAGCTTCCAGTTTGTTGTTGTCTAGGAGCACATATGAGGTAATGTATAAAAACATTTTATTTTAGGAGCTGGCATATAAGCATTATTTTTTTATTCAGTTACTTAAGGGTCTGAGAGACTACTTAACTCTCAACAAGTCAAGAATTTTATATCCAAAATGAAACAAAATTACTATTCTTTTCAAATTTTGTTTCATTCATCCAAAATGTCTACCACATGCCACTGTGCTCTATTATTATTATTAGCCATTTAGCAACTGTTTATAGGTTCCAATAGTAAAATAACAGGGTTTGCTTACATTGTTAAATATTCCCATTCCCCCAGCTGCCTGACTAAGTGGATCAGAGTTTGAAGTTGGTTGTATTGACTTTGTGTAATAGAGTGCCTAGCCTTCAGTAATGTATACAGAAGCCAAATGATGTGGCTGGTGAGCCTGTATGCTGCTGTCACTGTTGAAGGTGTATTTTTCAAAGCTGTATTTGTGGGCACAAGGCATGGCTCAGTGACAGGGCACATGTGACACCATGCACATGACCCCAGGGTTCACTCCCAGGCACTAGAACAAACAAAACCAAAAAAACTGTATTTGTTTACAAAGAATTGAAAAGCCACATTAAACATGTTGATGGAACTATTATATTGATGGCCCTTAATGTCTAAGAACTCTGGTCCTATCTGTAATAGATGAATACTAGAGCTTAACTGCACAATCACAGTATTACATATCCTGAAAGTACAAAGACAAAACACGTGTGAGCAATCTGAACAGCAAGTCCGACTTACTCTGCGCTGTTTCTGAATTTGATGCTTCGATTCGCTATATGCTGGGATACAATAGTTTTTTTCAAAATCAGGTGTAATGACAGCTTTCTGCAGAAGCTAGAAAAATACAAATTATTATTCTTTATCTTTCTTCCCCAGTTAAACTTAGTCTTTTAAATTTTGTGTAGGCAAATCCACTAATCCACTCCTAAATGTTTCTTGTACTTGTTGCCCAATCTCCTGGCCTTCATCTTGATCCCTGAACTTGCAGCTACTGCAAGTTGTCCTCTAATCTTCCCATGTACACCACAGCACAATTGTGCCCCCCCACCACACCAAATACATGAATGCTTAAAAAAAAAAAAAAAAAAAAAAAGACCCTTGGGTCCTAAGTGGTAAATGCAAATAATAATGCTGATCTTGAATTGTTTCAAGTATCATCTTTTACAGATAAAACTCCATTCATAAAAAGTTAACTATTCCAAGAAGATAGAAAAAGAGCACAACATATAGTTCTGCCATAGGGAAGATAGTCATTTTCCAAGGACTAAAGAGGATGGAATAGTTCATGTAACTTACCTCATTTTTCTTTTTCTCCTTAATCTGTGTTAGGGTTTTCTTGTGAGGCTGTGGCTTGTCTACATTGAAATTAATATACAAACCACCCAACTGCTTGATATTTAGTCCAGGATCTATGCTGCTACTTGTCAACTTCAGACTGAAAGAGAAAAGATCACTTTAAACATCAAGTAATTAAGACAAAATGGAAACAAGATTGCATGTTAAAATCTCACATGAATATGGAGCATTACAGTACAGTTCCTAAAACACTGAATAAACAGGTGTATCTCACGTGTAGGATGAAAATGAATCAACACGGTTGGAAAAGACATCCAAACAGATTCCCAAGATCTTCTAGGAGGACTAAACAAGTAACACGCCCACAGATTTCATAAGGAACTTAAAGCAAAGCTATTCAGTTGAAATTCACACATGGAGACACACTGTATCTCTATACCAGGAAGAAAGACCAGCTGACTATGAACTTAACTCTAGAATTCTATCCTAGGCAGACCAGGTGCGGTGCAGGACTTCAGTCCCAGCCCTTAGGAAGCTGAGGCAAGAGGATTATGCATTCCGGTCTAATGTAAGCTACAGAGAGAGCATGTGGGAAAGAAAAAATTCAGCTGCTGGCTGAATTAATGGCAGTGTTTCTAAATACATCACAGATGGCAATGAGCACCAAAACTACAGAAGCAGAAAAGAGATGGCATTCTCTTGACCACTAAACCAGTCTCTTCCATATCTGGTCTCCTTCGCTCCTATCATATTTTTATAGCGAGAATTTTTCCTTTACAGAACCAAGAGTCTTTTTTATAAGTACACCCAGACTGAAAGTCAGTTTCTTCTCTAATCATTCTCATAAACCATGTAGTATCACAGTGTAAGCAGGCTCCACTGGAAAGCAGAATCTTTGTATTACAGTGCCTTGGCAGTGGTTCACATCTTTGAATGTTTACTGGAATTAATGTGGGAAAGAGTACTTAAAAAACAAACAAATAACAAAAGCATTAGCCAGGCATGTGATGCACACCCCACAGCCACTCAAAACAAGAGGCTATTACTACGACTCTTGGTGATCTGCCAAAAACTTGATGTTAAGACCCTACTGCTGGCTGAATCATGGTGGCACACACCTTAATTCCAGCACTTGGGAAGCAGAGGCAGGGGGATGTCTGTGAGTTTGAGGCCAGCCTGATCTACATTATCAAGTTCTAAGACAGCCAGGGGTACAGAGAAACCCTGTCTCAAAAAAAAAAACTCAAAAGACCCTACTGCTTTGGTTACAGGACAAAGAAATGAAACTGCAGCTGAGCTGGAAGCATCTTTCCTGTTAGCTCTTATTGTGCTAGAAGGTACTACATAGGCCAGGGAGAAAAGTTACCAATGGTCTTACCCAGCTGTGGACTCTGCATGTTATACTACTGACTTGACAGAGAAGCTATCCCTGCCTGCCTACTGGTGCACTGTTATAGGGGTAACTGAGGCCCACTTGCAGGAATTCAGAACTGGCGCTGTAAGCCTATGGTTGTTTACAGGCCCTCGTGAGGAAGCTACTATTTTTTTTTTCCTAGATAAGCTATATTCATTAAAAATACCTTTTAAATATTTAGATTTATACTCAGGTATGGTAAGATGCATCCTCCCCACACACACCCAGTAGGTAGCAGTTACTACTAAGACTCAAAACTGGTCAAAGTGCTGAGAATAATTGTCTCAAGATGCTCGTTGCTATGACAGACATCTATATGCAGAAGAGTGGGCAGAGAGCATGTCCAAGTCTCAGAAGGGGCCAGGGAGCATGGATGTGGAACGCTGCTCTCTGGGTATGATCCAGGAATTCACAGCAGCTGCTGATCACCTGCACACTGCTGGACCAGTCAGCATTTTGTAATGGAGGAGCTCATGAGGCCCCACCTCTCCCTGAGGACCTAGAGGCAGTTAATGATTACTGGGGGAGGAAGAGGCATTTTCTTCAATGGTGCAGCACAAGTCAGAGTCAGCTTCTCATGAGCCTGTAAATAACCCCTCACCCATACTCCTGTAAGCAATTCATATACTGGGTCACCTATGTCCCCAGAAGACGTGAAAGCAGAAAGAGGACTAGCTAGGGGAAAGGGCATCAGGGGGAATGAAGAAAGGATGAGAGGAGTGTGAGGTAACTACACCTCAAAATACACTACACACACACACACACACACACACACACACACACACACACACACACACACACACGAAAACATACTGAAACACTATTATATACAATATATACTAATACAAATTACTTTGGGGGTTGAGGTACAGCTCAGCGGCAAAGGACATGCTTCTCGTGCTGAACCCACTGGTTTAATCCTTGCCTGCCCTCCCTTTCACTTACAGCTTGGACTTTGTGTTACTCAACAAGTCTTCCTCATCACTCGACTCTTTATTTTCATCACCGTCCGATGATTCTTCTTCACTGTTTTCATCCTCCTCCTCCTCCTCTTCTTCCTCAATAGCAACTTCACTGGGGGTCTTGTCTTCCAGGTAAAAATTTTTATCGGCACTCAGCCCAGGAGTTCTGTCGATCACGAACAGCGGGCCACCGCATGCTGTGTCTTCCCAGTCTCCCCTTGAAGACTCCTTCTGGCCACTGTTCTCAGAGCTCACAGTATCCTTTTCATTCTCACTGTTTTCAGACTGCTGGCTCTCATCACTGCTAAGAAATAATAAGACAGAGCTATCCACATCCTGAGACACACTGAGCTCAGACTTGCATACTTTGGTATTGCATTCAAGACCCAAATCACTTTGGCTGTTGTTTTCACTGACATCTACACTTGTGGGCTCCTCATTACTGCAGCCACCATCACTGAATTGTGTCCAGTCTTTTGTGTCATTTTTGTGACACTGAATTGTGTCACTCTTTTTGAGGCTGTCCACTCTTTCTTCATTCAACCTTTGTATTTTCACAACTGCAATCTTGTGCTCTAGTGATTTTATGATAGCCTCACAATGTAGACTTGAAGGCTGTGATACAGCTTCACTATTTAGGGTGTCTGAATGATTCTGAGAAACTGACTGCTGAAGGCTGGTGTCTGGAACTTCAGAAAGATTCAACTGGGAAACTTTCTTATTAATTTCTGTTTCCTCTATTATTTTGGTGTCCTCTTCATCCAGGCTCTTACAGTTCTCCTCCCTGATTTCTGTAAGAGATGCGACACTGGCTTCTTTTTCTTCTTGTACATGTAAACGTTGGTGGTTTTGTGTTGTTTGTTTTTCTGAATTTCTGTGGACGGAATCATCAAAGTCATTATTGTAAGTTTCATTATTAGAGAAATTTGGCCTACTTATCTGAGAATGTGGTCTCGCTGGTGACTGAGAGGTCTGTCTAGTATCTGAGTCCTCTGAATTCACAGATGTACCCACGATTTTCTTTTTATTTCCTGGTACAATCTTAGTATTTTTCTTCTCACTTTGGACCTGTAATTTCTTCTGCAAATTCCTGGCTGTTCTCCTAGGTGAAATGTCAAATGATGAAATGCTGGAGCATGAGGACTCACCATCAGACATAGCTTCTGCCTGTGATTCTTGGCTTAAATCTCTTTGAGCCTTAGGCTTACTTCTTTTGCTTCGTCTTTCTGTGGAAGGTACAACCATTGAAACCCCCGAAGCATGAGACTCTGCCTCAGAAACAACTTCTTGATCGAGAGATTCATGTTGAGGGGTTATTTTCTGCCTTTTCCTAACACTGGACTTTGGGGTGGGTACAATTACGACCTGCCTCTTCCTAGTTATTCTTATAATGGGCTCCTGGACCTCAAGCACAGAAGAAACCCCTGAAGCATGAGACTCTGCTTCAGAGGCCTCTGCATCAGTAGCTGGTTCAGTTAGCTCTGCTGGTGGAACTGTATTTCTACTTGTCCTCTTTCTAGAGAGGACTGAACTTTGTTTCTTGGCAGTCTGTGACACAGCAGTACTTCTGTCATTGGATTCAGATTCTTTCTTGCTTTTTAGACATGTCCCATTTCCTTGAGGAGCAGATCTCTGCAAACCAAAAACAAACACAGTATAACTTAGAAAGGGCTGGGACAAGAGGGAGCAAATGTGGCATGACCTCAAACGCAAGGCTTAACGAAGTACTAATGAAAGCCAAACTCGTGATGAACTAATTCTTTACTTGCCCCATCCTAGACTTCAGAAAGCAGAACTGAAAAGAGAATTTTCTCCACGGGGGGGGGGGTCCAAATCAATTATCGAGGCCCGGGGGCAGGGGAGTTAAGTCCGAATTGGGCAGATATAGTGTATATACATTTAGGAGTGTATACGGGAATCCGCCGCTTGCCTGGGATTTTACCTAACAGGAAAGGGCTGCTTCGTACCCTTTAGCACACACTCTAAAGAGCAGGGCAGCAGGAGGCAGAGGCTCTCACAGACAGCACAGCAGCCCTCGACAAGCCAGAGGAGCTGCCCCGTGTAAACGACGCTCCCTCCCAAGCCAACAGAAGGCTCGGGAGTGGTGGCAGCCATTCACCTTCCCTGGTCTCAACAGGCAGCTTAAAAGGTGTCATCTGCACGAGGCAAGCCACCTACACTCCTACGAGCCCTAAAGACCCCGAGGCCCGACCAGGTTCCGGCCGACCCGGCGCAGCGCTGCGCGCGCAAGGCTCGGGTCCTCCTCGCCCTCCTCCACCCGGCAGAGCCGCCCTGACGGCGGCGAGGAGAGCCGGCGAGCCCGGGCCCGCTCACCTTCTGCTGGGAGCTTCCTGATGCGACCTGGGGCCTGGTCCCCGACAGCCCCGACCTGGTGACCACCATGTTCCCGACTCTCTATTCCCGGCAGCCAGCGCGGGACGCTCCGGAAGTACGTCAGAACAAGGGCTCCTCACGGTTCCCCGCGGAAACCGAGTCTCGGAAGAATGGTTCCCAGGCCGGCTCTGCTGCCGCTGGAGACCGGATCTCCGCCCCAGGCTAGAGCGTGGCGGCCCGGTGGACGGCGATCCCCCCCCCCCCCGTTCCGAGCGCCCCCCGCGGCGCCCTCCCGGGCGGTAGAGGCCTTCCCCGCCGGTTCATATCCTGCTTTCCATCCGTCTTCTGCGCAGTAATTGTACGATCTTTGACGTCAATCTTGACTGAAGCCAAAGGGAGACTTTATGTAGTCCCTTTACAAGTAGAATGTAAGTTAAGATTTTGAGATTTGATTGAGATACAAGGATGTGTGTTAAGTGCACCCAGGATCTCAGAGAATAATTAAAAAGCTCAGGATTTAACTAAAATGTCTCCGGATTTGACGTAAGCTTAAAATAAATAAATAAATGATAAAACTTTTTTTTCTTTTTCTTTTTTTTTATTATTCTTTTTGCAACGAAAGGAAGAGACTGGCCCAAATGAAAAGGTTTTCAGTTTTTTGTTTGTTTGTTTTAAGTTTAGTTTTTTTTTTTTTTTTTCTTTGAGAGCAGGTCCCTCTACATAGCCCTGGCTGTCCTGGAACTCAGTATGTAGACCATGCTGATCTTGAACTCAAAGATCTTCCTGCCCTTGCTTCCCAAGTGCTGGGATCGAAGGCGTACGCCTTCACACGTGCTTGAGGAGTTCAGTTTTGTTTTGCAGCTGAAAGGTGGAGAACTGGGATATGTTGAGAGGCTACAAAGAGGCTTGAGAAGGGGGTAAAGGAATTAATGTTGGGAGCACGTGGCTCATGCAATCTATTTTCCTTCATGTTTTAAACTCTGAAAACCATGTATTTCAGTGGGTGCGTAGTTCCTCTTTGTGCCCCTTGGAGGCAGGTATTTTCCTTAGTTATACTTTCCATCTCACCAACATCTGAGAGTTACGTTTGCATCACGTTCTCACCAACACTTGCTGTTGTCAGTCTTTGTATTTTTTCCCCCATTAATCTGTACTTCCCTGATAATAATAATGTGGAATATCTTTTAACAGTTGCAGGGCTCTGGGCTCAATCTCCAATACCATTAAAAAATATAGATTCAGTATGAAATGCCATTTCCTGACAAACAGAACCACAAAGGTTGGTGCGTGTGCTGTTGCTACGTCAAAATGTCTGGCTTAGCCAACTTTAGAGACTTATTTAGGCTCATGGTTCAGAGGCTGCAGTTTGTCATCTTTCCCTGTCCCTTTAGACTGATGGCAAGACCAAATATGGTGGAGAATGTGTAACAGCAAAGTTATTCACCACATGGTGGTGGAGATGCATGGGGTGCGTGTGTCAAGGCTTTTATCCCTCTTCCAACAATTCCAATGACTCATTGACTTAACTTCCACTAGGCCCTACTTACTAAAGTCCTTACCACATCCCTACAGCACCATCAAAGACCAGACCCCCAGTACATGACCCTTTGCAGGGCATTTAAAATCCAAATCATAACACTACTCCAAAGATGTTGGTGACAATTACTAAGGATATATATTTTAAAAAGTTAATCTAATGAGCAATATAAGAATATAAGAATCAGGACTGAGCAGAGAAAGGGAAGAGAGCTGACTCAGAGTAATAATTATTTTAAGATATGAACCATCTTAAAATGACAGAAGGTGGACATACCAAATGCATATATAAAAGACATTCTAACAATATGCATCCTTTTTAAATTTTCTGGCAATGGATATACAACCATATCCTAACTGAGTTGTGTGTGTGTGATAAGCTTTAGTTTCTTTCATACAATGTGACTTTTCTAACCATACCTCAACAGAACAAGCCTTTTGTATGCATGACTGTGTATTCGTGTGCTTGTGTGCTCATACATGTGCATGCAAGACCAGAAGTCTCTAGTACAATCCACCCTATTTTTTGAGATAGGTCTAAGTGAACCCGAGCTTGCTGATTGGTGGAGGTGACTGTTTCCAGTGCTGGGATTACCACTCCACCACGACTGGCTTTTCATGTGGGTGCTGAGTCTGAACCCACATTCTCATGCTTTTGTGTGGGGTATCCATGGCGCCACCTCCCCAGCCCCAGAGAAAGATTATGAAGATGCTTTCATTGCACATGTTTACATATACATTGCCCATCATTTGATAGAATATTTCCAAATCAGGTAGAGAAGGATCTCTACCTACAATGCTCAGCACACCTTGTTCCAGCCTGAGCCTAAGTTAATTCCTTTAGTAAATCTTTCTTGTCCTTGCCCTCTATCCATAGCCACTTTCTTCCACATCTCCCAACCTTTCCCCCATTTCTGCCATCAATCAAGATAGCTCTTTATTGCTCTTCATGACCCATCTCCTCCCAGTGACTATATTATAAGCTCTTTAAAGATAAGATTATCTGTGTCTATCTGTAGCATGTTGCATAACACAGCACACATCTCTGTTGAGTGAATAGCTTTATAGTTTAGAAATTTTTCAGTTAACTCAATTTATTCTCAAATCATATTTTTGGAATTCAAATGGCTCAAATTGATGTGATGCTTCCAGATGTTCCCATTTTTCAAACAACTCAAATAAAAAACATAAACTCACATTTTAAGTAATTTAAGCAAAATAAAAATTATCTTTGACAATGCCTTATTTTTGCTTTAGTACACTATAGATACATAATAGTTCATTATTTCCATTTTCTGTTTCCCTCAATCTGAAAACAATAAAAATATTGTTACATATTTTTGAAAAAAATCAAACTGATATATTTCTTCATCAATTTTATAATGGAAAGAGAGGTCATTTTGGAACATTGTAAATTAATGTTGAAAAAATAGGTTTAAAACAAAATCTGGTGTACTTGAGTATAAGAACACAGACTGCACAAGTGATTTAAATTCTTTGAAAAAGTTCACAATTTTCTATCCATACATTTAGCAGGATGAACTGCCAGCCATTATACACCAGTAACCTGTTGCTTACATTTCAAAGATCAAAGTACTTGGGGGTTAGCCAAGGAGGAAATACTCAGATAAAGACATATACTTAAGATGAGCCTTAGAACTTTTGTCCCAGAAAAGCGAGATCCTAATTTTGGTTACTACTTGGCCCTGATATAGAAAAGTGGAAACTATTCATGCAAAATAGATGAAATAGCTTTTCATTAATTGCCTGTGCAATACAAAGTAACTCCTGTTTTCACTTTACATTTATACATTCTTAAATAATAATTTTTTTCAAATATTATTATTTAAATTCAAATAGTCCAAAATTAATGTGATCCTTTAGGTCCAGATGACCATTTTTTTTTTTCCAGAACTGAAATCTATTAGCTATTTGACTCATGGTCTATCACTTAGTCATCCTTAAATGGATAATGTATTAATGTTCTGTCATCAATATAATCTTCATGGGAAGGGCATGGTAGCACATGCTTTTAGTCTCACAGCACTCACTCGGGAGAGGCAGGCAAATTTCTTTCGAGTTTGAGGCCAACCTGGCCTATATAGCAAGCTCCAGGACAACCAGGACTACAAAGTCCTTGTCTCAAAACAAGCAAACAACTTTGGGTCTTTAGAATATATATATATATATATATATATAATCACGTGAATCTATCTTGTAAGAGTCCTTGGTCCTTCTGGTGTCTACAGTCTCCTGGATGGAAATTCAAGGTGAATTCATGGAATAAATTCCAAGTAACACAATGCTGCTGAATAAGGTGCCTGTTGCTTCTGGAAACCTAGTAAGCTAAAAACCTTTAGGGTTTACTTGGAAAGAAATTATACACAAATCTTTCTACCTTGGGTCACTGCATTCAAATATATCTGTCATGCACATAATTGATAACTTAGCTTTTCATTTTAAGCGGTTATTTGGGGAGTATTTTTGAAAGATTTGTGTGTGTGACTGGTGCCTCCTGGTCAGAAGGGGACAGTGGATCCCCCGGAAGTGGAGTGATAGATGTTTGTGAGCCACCCCGTTGGTGCTGGGACCTGAATCTGGATCCTCTTCAAGAGCAGCAATGCTCTTAGCCCCTGAGCCATCTCTTCAGCCCCCAAAGACTCATTTTTAAAGGTTATCCACTAACTTAAGGATTGAAGTGAAAGAATGCTGTGGAATATTATTATTAAGATAACGACGTCCCCTTTCCCTACCCTTGGAATTTTGGGATAATAGTCATCGTCTTTGGGTTGGTTTTAGTTATTTAGGATTGGGTGATGCTTACACTCGGGTTTATCTTTTAGACAGGAATAGGGAATGGTTGGGAAAGGCACGGTTTAGATGGGATATAGGTAGATTAGCCTATTGAGAATTTGAGTAAGAATGAGATAGTATTTTACAGTTTACATTGTTATGTATTCTTATGTGGTAAGCTATGTAAAATTAAGTTTATATTTTGTTATATTGTGTTAAATCTTTCCACTTACAATGTTTTATGCACATTATTTTTTTTACCATATTCTATGTATGTATACTTTTCTTGTATTCAAGACATTTTGTATATTGATACAATTTGGGATATTTATTATGCTGCCCTTTATAGTTCAACCTCTTGTCTTGACACTTATACTCTACCTCTATTTTAGGGATTTACATGTATGTATATGTAAATAGTTATATTGTTTAAGTATTTGTTCCTGCTTTACTCAGGGAAGTTTTAATCAGTCTTTTTAGCTAAGTTCCTGAGTATTACAGATTATCTTCACTCATGTTTCCTGTACCTATGAGATTAGTCAGACATAGATGCTTAATCTTCAATCACTTCATAGACATGCAGAACATGGCATTTAAATGTTTTAATATTAGTACTCCATTGACATGAGACACTGTTGCTCCTGACAGCACCGTGCACTTTCCCGAAAATATATTGGACACTGTTGTTGCTCCTGCTGGAGTTCAATCTCGCCTCAGCTAATGGCCTGTTGGGCAAAGAATTG